TTACTGCCAAACACTGTCACTTACTGCCAAACACTGTCACTTACTGTCAAAACACTGTCACTTACTGTCAAACACTGTCACTTACTGTCAAATACTGTCACTTACTTGCAAACACTGTCACTGTCAAATACTGTCACTTACTGTCAAAACACTGTCACTCACTGTCAAACACTGTCACTTACTGTCAAATACTGTCAAACACTGTCACTTACTGTCAAATACTGTCACTTACTGCCAAACACTGTCACTTACTGCCAAACACTGTCATTTACTGTCAATACACTGTCACTCACTGTCAAAACACTGTCACTTACTGTCAAACACTGTCACTTACTGAACATACTGTCACTAACTGTCAAATACTGTCACTTACTGTCAAACACTGTCACTCACTGTCAAACACTGTCACTTACTGTCAAAACACTGTCACTCACTGTCAAAACACTGTCACTCACTGTCAAAACACTGTCACTCACTGTCAAACACTGTCACTTACTGTCAAAACACTGTCACTTACTGTCAAGCACTGTCACTTACTGTCAAATACTGTCACTTACTTGCAAACACTGTCACTGTCAAATACTGTCACTTACTGTCAAAACACTGTCACTTACTGTCAAACACTGTCACTTACTGTCAGATACTGTCACTTACTGTCAAATAACAGAAGAGAATACGAACAGTTTTTAGGTCCATATGCAGCTAAGAACAGTGCTAGAAATGGAAATGGTCAAAGAATATTGGATCTATGCAGCCAGCACAATCTTTTTATTACGAACACATTCTTTGACCATAGAGATTCACAACTTTACACTTGGTACAAATGGAATGATGTCTCCATCAAGAGCCAGATTGACTTTTTACTTACTAGAGTTCAAGGAAGAAGGAGAATTCTTGATTCAAGAGCAATCCCTAATGGTCTATGTGACACTGACCATAAAATAGTTGTGTTAACAGCAAAACATCTTACATTAAAGAAATACAGAAAGAAATTAAACAAAAACAAGGATCTCATCAAGATAGCAAATCTGAAACAGGAAGGAGTAAAAGAACGGTTACAACAGAAAGTAGAGACAGCATTCAAACAACTTCCACATGTAGTTGGCAATATTGAGGAAGAATGGAGTATATATAAAAACACTATGCTTAGTATTGCAGAAGAATTATGTGGAAAACGGAAGAGTGGAAACAGACGGGGAAATAACAAATATTCACCTTGGTGGTGCGAAGAAGTAAAAGAAGCAATTAAAAAGAAAAAAGACCTATATAAACAGTGGATAAAATCAAAGAAAGAAGAAGATTATATAAACTATAGACTGCAAAGGAGAGAAACCAACAGAAGTGTCAAGAAAGCAAAACAAGCATACTGGGAACGTTTCGGTGAGTCACTAGCAGAAAATGAGAAAACAGCCAGCAGAAAATTTTTCAAAGTGGTTAAAAATATGCGGAAAAGAGACGAGAGCTACAACCCCACTGAAATAATTAATGATAAGACAGGAAGGCCATTGATAGATCCACCCGAGATAGCAGAAAGATGGAGGGAATACTTCAATGAGCTCTTTAATCCTCTAGGAGATCATCAGGAAAGAACAACTGAAGAGCACAGAGCAACAGTGTTAGAACCACACATACTAATGGATGAAATATAAAAAGTCATTAAACAGTCTCCCAAATATAAAGCACCAGGAGCTGATAGATTACCAACAGAAATAATTCAAGCAGCAGGTGAAAGCAGCATCAGATAGCTTCACAGAATATTCAATGCAGCATGGGTACAACAAACGGCCCCTATTGATTGGCAACATGCAATAGTTATACAATTGTGGAAGAACAAAGGAAGCAAACGAGAATGCGGTCAATATCGAGACATCTCTCTTTTAAGCCATGTTGGCAAAATGTATGCCAAGATAATAGAAACAAGACTGCGACCAGTGATAGAACCACAGCTGGCAGAAGAACAGATGGGATTTCGGAGAAATAGAAGCTGCACAGATGCAATCTTCACACTTAAACAGTTAATAGAAAAGAACATTGAATACAATAAGAACTTATTTGTGGCATTCGTAGACCAGGAGAAGGCATTTGACAGAGTCGACAGACAATTACTATGGAAAATAATGGCAAGATATGGAGTAAGCGAACACCTCATCGAAGTGTGCAAAAGTTTATACAGGGATTGTAGAAGTTTAGTTAGAATAAATCAGGGAACATCTCATCCTTTCACAGTGACATCTGGAGTAAGACAGGGGTGTGTCTTATCACCAATGCTGTTTATCACCTACATCGACAGTATATGCAAGAATGCCAAGCCCATGAATGAAGATCTTAGTAAGGTCAACGAATTACTCTTTGCAGATGACCAGGCCTTGATAGCAGATACAGCCATGAAATTGCAACAACATCTAACATCCATGAATGAAGAATGTAAAACAAATAATATGAGAATCAACACTGAAAAGACAGAAGTAATGTCAATAGGAAAAAAAGAAGACAGATCTAAACATAGCAATAGAATACAACGACATTAAACAGGCATCTGAGTTTAAATATCTGGGAACTACATTTACCGAAGATGAAAAATTGGATAAAGAAATTGACATTAGATGCAGTAAAGCAAACCAAGTATTGGGACAGCTAGACCCCCTCTTACAGCATAAGACAATCCCAATCAGCACAAAGAGACATCTTATTCAAAGCATATTTATACCAACTCTGTGCTACCAGTGCCAGACAAGGTCACTCACAACAAACCATAAAAGAAAATTAGTAACCACGGAAATGAGATGTCTGAGAAGGGCTGTAGGAGTAACCATAAGAGACAAGATCAGGAATAAGATCATAAGAGAACAAGTCGGCACAGAACCAATTCTGGATTACATACAAAGACAGCAAGTGAAATGGTTTGCCCACTTAGAGAGAATGCCTTGTGACACCATACCATACAAAGCATACATGGAAAGAGAAGAAGGACGTAGAGCACGGGGTAGACCAAGAACAAGATGGAAGGATAACATCAGAGAAACTCTACAACAGCACGATGTGCCTATGGTCGAGGCAGCCAGAAGAGCTAGAAACAGAACCTTATATCTCCCTCGACACCCACAGCGGTAAAAGAGGAAGTAAAGAAGAAAAAGAAGAAGAAGACTGTCAAATACTGTCATTCACTGTCAAAACACTGTCATTTACTGTCAAACACTGTCACTTACTGTCAAAACACTGTCACTCACTGTCAAACACTGTCACTTACTGTCAAATACTGTCAAACACTGTCACTTACTGTCAAATACTGTCACTTACTGCCAAACACTGTCACTTACTGTCAAACACTGCCACTAACTGTCAGACACTGTCACTTACTGTCCTACAATGTCGCTTACTGTCAAACACTGTCACTCACTGTCAAACACTGTCACTTACTATCAAACCACTGTCACTTACTCTCAAACACTGCCACTTACTGTCAAAACACTGTCACTTACTGTCAAACACTGTTACTTACTGTCAAACACTGTCACTTACTGTCAAAATACTGTCACTCACTGTCAAAACACTGACACTCACTGTCAAACACTGTCACTTACTGTCAAACACTGTCACCTACTGTCAAACACTGTCACTCACTGTGAAAACTCTGTCACTTACTGTCAAACACTGTCACTTACTGTCAAACACTGTCACCTACTGTCAAACACTGTCACTTACTGTCAAAACACTGTCACTTACTGTCAAACACTGTCACTTACTGTCAAGACACTGTCACTTACTGTCAAACACTGTCACTTACTGTCAAAACACTGTGACTTACTATCAAAACACTGTCACTTACTGTCAAACACTTTCACTTACTATCAAAACACTGTCACATACTGTCAAAACACTGTCACTCACTGTCAAAACACTGTCACTTACTGTCAAAACACTGTCACTTACTGTCAAAACACTGTCACTTACTGTCAAAACACTGTCACTTACTGTCAAAACACTGTCACTTACTGTCATTTACTTCAGATGGTTTCGCCTTTTCCTTTTTCTTGTTAGTCTCCCCCCGCACACTCTCTCCCTCTCTCTATATGTTTATATGTTTCGTGTCCTGCCCGCTCTCTCCCTCTCTCTATATATTTATATGTTCTGTGTCCTGCCCACTCTCTCCCTCTCTCTATATATTTATATGTTTTGTGTCCTGCCCACTCTCTCCCTCTCTCTATATATTTATATGTTTTCGTGTCCTGCCCGCTCTCTCCCTCTCTCTATATATTTATATGTTTTGTGTCCTGCCCACTCTCTCCCTCTCTCTATATATTTATATGTTTCGTGTCCTGCCCGCTCTCTCCCTCTTTCTCTATATATTTATATGTTTCGTGTCCTGCCCACTCTCTCCCTCTCTCTCTATATTTATATGTTTCCGTGTCCTCCATTACTTCCTGTTATACGTGCGATTCTTTAATCGTCCAAGTTGACGCCATTCCCGCGTATTGGCATCATCCTCCAACAAAAGTCAACAAGAGACACAACATTCAAGCCGCCGCCAAAACTCCCTTTAGATTTAAATGACTGCACAGTTTTCGCCATTTTTTGTGTGACTTTTTATTCAACAAAAAACCTGACGCAGAGAAGAAAGTCACCTGAGTTTAGCCATACGGGGCAGGAATACGTGTATATGGTAGGTTGTATGGGTCATATGTGCACAAAACTGAACAAATAAACCCGATTAAATACTTGCTGCTCAAATTGCAATTGTTGTGTATGTTGACAAAGACGGTAGCCACGCTCGTCTTCTCTGTAAACTCTACAGTGGGTAAAATGTAAGGGGGAAAAGTCGCACTCAAAACAAGAGAGGCTAGCCGCACGTTTCGGGGTATAAATACAAGTAGCAGACATCGTAGCGTGCCCACCTGCCACGACAAAGATCACAGGAGGTACTCACGTTTAGTGCACTGATCTGTCGATAACATTTCCTGCACAACCCCAAAACTGCTCGGGCATTGGACATACAGTTCGACATGACGGAAGCACAACGGACATCCAGCAGTGCGTGGCTGGGTGCAGCCATCCTGCTGTGTCTGGCACTCAGATACGGCGTGGAGGCTCAGGCTAGACTGGGCAGCCGGAACTTCACCGACATCACCTTCAGCGATGGCCGCCAGCTTCGGGGGGAGCTGGTTCACACTCAGCCAGGCACTTCCAACACAGGGGTGGTCTACACATTCCTGGGTGTTCAGTACGGCGCCTCCCCTACAGGTAAACGGTGCCGCTTCTCGCATGTCTTCTCTTGTCCTTGTCCTCGTTGTCATCATCATCATCATCATCATATGAGCTAGATTAAGCAGATCACCAGCACAGATAGAGCTTGTCATGTGTCAGCATGCTCACCATCCCTCCCTCCCCCCCCCTGCCGTACTGAAACGCACGATCTCTTTCATCAAGCCAGTGCACGTGCTGTCTCTATCCTGGAGCATAACCACGTGTCTGCTTTACACATTTTGTCAAACTCTGACTCACTGTCAAACTTTATCTAGAGTCTGTTTCTACATACTCACTCTCATGCACACTGTCAAACTATCAATCAATGTCAGATTATACCATTTATTGTCAGACCCCATCACACTGTCAGACCCCATCACACTGTCAGATCCCATCACACTGTCACACCCCACCACACTGTCAGATCCCACCACACTGTCAGACCCCATCCCACTGTCACACCCCATCACACTGTCAGACTATGTCCCAAACTATCAAACTCTGTCACTCACAGTCAGACTATCAACATTTAACGCAACTTTAGGACATTTTCACAACTCAAATTTTCGCACTCATCCCAGACTGTCAGGTTATATCACAGATTATCAGATTCAATCCCAGACTGTCAGGTTATATAACAGATTATCAGATTCAATCCCAGACTGTCAGGTTATATCACAGATTATCAGATTCAACCCCAGACTGTCAGGTTATATCACAGATTATCAGATTCAATCCCAGACTGTCAGGTTATATCACAGATTATCAGATTCAATCACAGTCAGATTTTCTATTACTGACTCAGATTTTTTATAGCAGGGATAATATAACATATGGTCAGATTTTATCACAGATTGTCAGATTCTATCACAGATTGTGGGATAATATAACATATGGTCAGATTTCATTACAGATTGTCAGATTATATCACAGATTGTCACATATTGTCAGATTCTATCACAGACTGCGGGCACATAAACGTTTACAAATGGTTACATATTATTACAACATGGCTTTTGCAAAAACATAAACTATGTAAGCTAAGATATAACATAAATGTATGATTTATGATAATATATAACGTATATAAATGTATGATTTATGAGAAAAAAAAACATATTTTAATGTTTTATTTTTGAGAGGATATAACATATATCAATATTTGATCAGTGAGAGGATATTACATACACTTATGTTTGATCTGTGAGACGATATAAAATGTATCAACGTTTGATCTTTGAGAGGATATAGCATAAATCGATGTTTGATCTTTGAGAGGATATAGCATTAATCAATATTTGATCTTTGAGAGGATTAAGCATATATCAGTATTTGATCTTTTAGAGGATATAGCATATATCAGTATTTTTTTTTTTACAGGATATAGCATATATCAATATTTGATCTTTTAGAGGATACAGCATCAATCAATGTTTGATCTTTTAGAGGATACAGCATATATCAGTATTTGATCTTTTAGAGGATATAGCATAAATCAATATTTGATCTTTGAGAGGATATAGCATATATCAGTATTTAATCTTTGAGAGGATATAGCATATATCAATGTTTGATCTTTGAGAGGATATATAATGTATTAATGTTTGATTTTTGAGAAGATATAACATATATCAACGTTTGATCTCTGAGAAGATATAACATATATCAATGTTTTTATCTGTGAGAAGATATGACAAACATCCATGTTTGATTTGTGAAAATTTACAACGTATATCAATGGTTGATCTGTAAAAACGTAGATATAAGACATGGATGTTTAAGCTACGAGAACTAAGATACAACACATATCACTGTCTGATATACAACTAAGATATAACACATATCACTGTTTGATATACAACAACTAAGATATCACACATATCACTGTTTGATATACAACAACTAAGATATAACACATATCACTGTCTGATCTACAACAACTAAGATATCACATATATCGCTGTTTCACCTTCAACAACTAAGATATGACATATATTACTGTTTGACCTTCAACAACTAAGATATCACGTAATTACTGTTTGACCTTCAACAACTAAGATATCACATATATTACTGTTTGACCTTCAACAACTAAGATATCACATATATTACTGTTTGACCTTCAACAACTAAGATATCACATATATTACTGTTTGACCTTCAACAACTATTTTATTCATTCTCTACCCAGGCACAAGGCGGTACTCAGCCCCGGAGCCCGAGCCCCGATGGAGCGGTCTGAGAGAGGCCCTGAACTTTGGCCCCAGATGTGTCCAATCAGTGACTGACTGGGCCGACCAATCAGAGAACTGCCTCTTCCTGAATGTCTACAGTCCGTCCTTGAACTCCACCAGCCCGGTCATGGTGTGGTTCCACGGCGGTGGCTGGAGGGTTGGGTCATCCTCCGATCCCATCTTTGACGGTACCAGCTTGGCCACCAAGGGCGTGGTTGTAGTCACCGTCAACTACAGACTTGGGGCGCTGGGGTTTCTTGTCTACAGGTGATGACGTCATGCCGGGAAACTACGGAATGCTGGATCAGGTGCTGGCCTTGAGGTGGGTCAGGGACAATATTAGGTCGTTTGGGGGTGACCCCAATAGCGTCACTATATTTGGGGAGAGTGCTGGGGCGGCCAGTTGCTCACTGCACGTCCTGTCTCCTATGTCCAGAGGTCTGTTCCACAGAGCTATCATGGAGAGTGGGTCATCGTTCAATCTCTGGGGAACTGAGCGGCCTGGGACAGCCGTCAAACTGGACAACTTGACCAAACAGATCGGCGAGAGAGTTGGCTGTAGGTACACCAATTCCGAGTCCCTCTTGGCATGTCTTCGCAATGTCAGTGCTAGGAACCTGCTAGAAGCCACCCTGACCGTTCGATGGCAGTCGAGGATTGAGATCCCGCTAACTCCCCGGGTGGAGCGCCGGTTTGGCTTCCTGCCGGACTACCCCAAGCGGTTGCTGGAGACAGGCGCCTTCAACAGAGTGGACACTATCCGAGGATTCAACTCTGGCGAGTACTCTTACTTCATCAACGACCCTGAAAATAACGGACTGACCAGGGAAGAGTTTGGCGCCAGTTTTGAAAGATTTTTCACCAAGTACCCAGTTCAAAGCCACGCCCATGACTTCCTTGTACAGTTTATTGGCGCCAACTATCTCGGCAACAACACCAACCCTATCAGCATCCGCTCCAACCTGGTCACGGCGTTCGCAGACACGGGCTTCGGTCTGGGCAGCCTCTTAGAGCTACAGAAGATGTTGGAGCATGGGGGAGCCAGTTCGAATCATTATGTTTACCAGGTGGACTATCAAACATCACTGAGCAACCATCCCGCCTGGATGGGTGTGCTACACGGCGGGGAACTGCCGCTGGTCTTCATGAATACCTCTCCAATTCCACTGTTCTTCCTCAGTCCCACTGACCGGGCCATGGGCGAGAAAGTCCAAACCTTGTGGACCAACTTCGCCAGAACCGGCAACCCTACGGCGACAAGAGTTCCCGAGAATGGGGGTGAAGTTCGCTGGAGCAGGTACACGCTCGCCAGTCCTGTAGTTCTGCGGATCGACGCCAGAACCAATGAGATCCCTTTCCCCAGACCAGAGTCGCTGAGGGCCTACGATCAGTTCTTGAGCATTCTTCAAGTGAACAACCCAGCAGAACTAGGAAACTTCACTGCCCTCAGCGCCCCCCAGGGAAATATTCAGATTCCCCGGCTAGTTTAAGGATGACTGCCGTGTTCTCTTCCACCTGCAGCTGATGATGTATCACCACTGCCTGCTGCCTGTTGACAAATACTGACCAATGTATTCACTGCGGACCTGCTGCCTGTTGAAAAATACTGACCAATGTATTCCCTGCGGACCTGCTGCCTGTTGAGAAATACTGAACAATGTATTCACTGCGGACTTGCTGCCTGTTGACAAATACTGAACAATGTATTCACTGCGGGCCTGCTGCCTGTTGACAAATACTGACCAATGTATTCACTGCGGACTTGCTGCCTGTTGACAAATACTGAACAATGTATTCACTGCGGACCTGCGCCAAGGACATCTAAAGTGGGAAAATGGACATCTGTACTGTAAATATGTCGATGCATGAATACAAATAAAACACTTGTAGCTTCACCATTGTCTGGTTATTTTCTCAGTTACAGTACTTGTATATTTCATCTTTCTGCAAAGCTATCAACACAATTATATTTACATAAACCAGATCATGACACAACTGACATAAACCAGACCCTGACACAGCAACATAAACCAGACTCCCACACAGCTGACATAAACCAGACCCTGAAACAACTGACATAAACCAGACCCTGACATAAACCAGATTCTGACACGACTGACATAAACCAGACCCTGACATAAACCAGACCCTGGCATAAACCAGACCCTGACACAACTGACATAAACCAGATGCTGACACAGCTGACATAAACTAGATTCTGACACAACTGACATAAACCAGACCCTGACATAAACCAGACCCTGACATAAACCAGATGCTGACATAAACCAGACCCTGACATAAACCAGATGCTGACATAAACCAGACCCTGACATAAACCAGATGCTGACACAACTGACATAAACTAGATGCTGACACAGCTGACATAAACCAGACCCTGACATAAACCAGACCCTGACATAAACCAGACCCTGACATAAACCAGACCCTGACATAAACCAGACCCTGACATAAACCAGACCCTGACATAAACCAGACCCTGACATAAACCAGACCCTGACATAAACCAGACCCTGACATAAACCAGACCCTGACACAGCTGACATAAAACAGATCCTCACAACTGTCTGCGTGTATGCCTGAGTCTCTCTCGCTCTCTTTTTCTCTCTCTATGTTCTAAGACTGCAGACGGAAGCTGAAGAAAAATTATTCAACAATGAACAAGCTAAGGTCTCTAGTTTGTGCACCACATTTTCATGTGGCTTTTGTTTATTTTGTTAAAATCTGGTATAAATTAATTGCAACATTTCTTTACTTTCTGGTTATTAGCTTATTTTTTTTTAATGGAAGACAACTATGGCATCTCTGCACAGATGATCTGTCGTGTCTTTCAACAGAAAGAAAATAAAAGAAGAAGAAAATCATGACACTCAAACAACTTCCATGTCTAGAGAAAAATGTGACTTGAACATCATAATGTATGCAGTTGTGGATCAGCTGAGATTCATGTATGAACATTTGTCACTAGATCCACGTAGTCACAGTTCTAATCCTCAAATGTCCAAATGGGTGTCATCTCCCAGTTTGATCAAGGACGACCACCAGACATGAAGCAAGACTTAAGCAACACAACTCACAGTCGCTTATGTCAAAGGTCTCTGACCCACCTAACACTCCCAGGATATTTCACCCCCCCCCCCCCCCCCCACCAACTACCCCACTCACAAGCATGTCATAACAGTCGACTAATTTTGGGTGTTTCCTTCCAAGTCTGAGTGAATATGAAGAGATGAACCAACAGTCTGCTTACAAATAAGCAACATCTGTAAATGGATATACATGCATAACTGTAGTTTACAGCTGGTGAACGCAAAACTTCTGCAAGTTCTGGAATAAGACCAAAGCCCAGAAGTGGATGAACAACCAAAACTTTCCGGCAGAGTTTACATCTAATGAATTCTAAAAACATCTTCCTGGAGAACTTTCTATGTGACCCCTGAACCCAGCAGTAGAAATTGAGCAACAGAGTAACAAAAACAACATATGACTTATACAGGGCAATAAAATAGCAAACATACACACAACAAGCAGATATACAGTGGCAACAATTCATCACACATACAAGTGTTTAGGAGCACCAATATTTTGTCCCCAATCCTGGCAGGATTTCATAAACAACTGATGCACCACACATTCTATGAGGGTTTGTGGAACCTTCCTTCATGAAACCTCACAGGGCTAGCACAGTGCTCTTATCATTATTTAAACACTGCAGCAGACTCTGAGTATCAGAGTAGGGACATGTATATTTACTGTACACAACAGACCTGCTTGGTTTTAGCAACAGAGTGGATAAAAGACCCCAGTCAAACCCATGGTCATGGGACTTGTCAAGGTGGTAGATGGTGATCAGTAACGGCCTCTTCTGATCGCTGCAAATGCCTTCCTTATTCACACCTTTTAGATGATAGGCTGCCATATTGTCTTAACTCTAAATCCCATCTATCGGACTGGCTTGTGGCACACAGTCAGCTCAGAGGCAACAATCAGTCAGCTTAGAGGCAACAATCAGTCAGCTCAGAGGCAACAATCAGTCAGCTCAGAGGCAACAATCAGTCAGTTCAGAGGCAACAATCAGTCAGCTCAGAGGCAACAGTCAGTCAGCTCAGAGGCAACAATAAGTCAGCTCAGAGGCAACAGTCAGCTCAGAGGCAACAGTCAGTCAGCTCAGAGGCAACAAACAGTCAGCTAAGAGGCAACAGTCAGTCAGCTCAGAGGCAACAGTCAGTCAGTTCAGAGGCAACAGTCAGTCAGCTCAGAGGCAACAATCAGTCAGCTCAGAGGCAACAATCAGTCAGCTCAGAGGCAACAAACAGTCAGCTCAGAGGCAACAGTCAGTCAGCTCAGAGGCAACAAACAGTCAGCTCAGAGGCAACATTCAGTCAGCTCAGAGGCAACAAACAGTCAGCTAAGAGGCAACAATCAGTCAGCTCAGAGGCAACAATCAGTCAGCTCAGAGGCAGACAACAAACAGTCAGCTCAGAGGCAACAATCAGTCACCTCAGAGGCAACAAACAGTCAGCTCAGAGGCAACAAACAGTCAGCTAAGAGGCAACAATCAGTCAGCTTAGAGGCAACAATCAGTCAGCTCAGAGGCAGAGGCAACAATCAGTCAGCTCAGAGGCAACACTCAGTCAGCTCAGAGGCAACAATCAGTCAGCTCAGAGGCAACAAACAGTCAGCTCAGAGGCAACAATCCGTCAGCTCAGAGGCAACAAACAGTCAGCTCAGAGGCAACAGTCAGCTAAGAGGCAACAATCAGTCAGCTAAGAGGCAACAAACAGTCAGCTAAGAGGCAACAAACAGTCAGCTAAGAGGCAACAATCAGTCAGCTCAGAAGCAACAATCATTCAACAAGAGAAAAAGTTAGTCAGCTTTATGGAAGTCATTGTATGATCAGCAGCAACAACTTCATGGCCAAGGAAAATATCTTCCAGTTGCTAAGAACACCTGGCAAACATGACATGACTAAACATGGCACACTTGTTAGTCAAATATTTCAACCAGTTCCTGATTTACCAGAAGACAGAAGTAGGTATGAGAAGTAGTCGTTATGTAATGCCCCACATTTGATTCTTTCACAAACTTTGTGCAAACGGACAAGATAACTTGTGTCTCTACACCTCCTAATTTTCTACACAATCTCTGTCCACCTAAATGACCTAACCAGACAAGGACACGCATGCCTTGCCCACATCAGGTTCTGTCCAGTCCGTGCAGCTATTTCTTCACAGAATAAATAACATCCTCGTCAGTCTCTTCCCTTTCCGAAGCCCTCACTTTCCTAACACAGTGACTACTGGTGCTCTTATCAACTGTACATCACATTTATGAATGTTTCTTTTTCCATAGCTAAAAATTCTATAACAATTCGTTGTCTATAACACAAATTGTCCTTGTATGCTATTTGCAAAAAATTAATGTAGCTATTCTTTTTGTTGTGGAGTGCGGCACTATTTTGTATTTACAATTTGGGCATTTGAAGTTTGAAGTGCATAAATTTCACGTTTCTGTCCATATTATTCTCTAGACAGAAAGTGGGGGCCATTACTTTCTGCAGGTTCATTGCAAGAAAAACCGAGTTCAGTTCACAGTGTTGGGACCATTGCTAACAAAGGCAATCACATAATGTACGTTGACGAGAGAATACAGCACAAACATGCACTTGTATGCTAACTCTCTGGCCACAAGATACCCTTAATTTGGCATTGCCATCCATAACAAATCACAGAGAAGCCACTAAATTAACACTGCTGCAGTGGTCAGGCCCTGAAAGGCCTAGTTAATTTCATTGTTCTTTTAAGACAAATGGTGTTTAGAACGGCTGATTATGGTAATGTTTAAAAAAAAACATGGGACAACTTAACTGAAACAAATTGTTTAATTTTTTTTAAACCCATGACAACATCATAATTCTTCTGTAGCCTTTAGTAATGGAGTCACGTGGTAACTGTACTGACTAGTCACTGTATGCATTTGTTTAGACCCAAGGGACTACACTCATATAATCCTCTGCTCCGTCTGTATTGACTGATTGATTACTCCCCTTGACATATTTCTAAAAAAATTGTGTGAGAAAAAAAAAGTTTTTTTTATTTTTTTTGACTTGGTGGTGACCTGTGGTTTTCTAAAGGATATTTTTCAGGAATTCCTGGCTACTGTACTTGGAGAAAGGGTTTCATGGGTCAAAAGGTTAATGAGCAAGCAGAGCAGACATGTACATGTATATTAATGAGAGAGCACACACGTACCTCTACCACCCTTCAGTAGAGTGAATATATACATGTATATTAATTAAATTGAACACACATCTATCCCTGCCCCCTTCCAGCACAACAACTATGTACACACATATTATTTAGAGAGCACAGACACACTTTTGCCACACTCCAACAGAGAAAGTTGAGTAGGTCATGTTTGAATCACCATGCAAAAGCTGATATTGTGTGTTGCTATTATGCATTATTAGTATACTTTCCAAACATGACAGTAAATGCAGCAGTATACTGAAGCAGAATCTGGGTTTTCTCTTAGCCTCAGTTCTCCTTCAACAAACCAGTCTGCTCAACTCAAATTTGTTTTATTCCGTCAACCTGCAAAGGTTGTAGCTTTCCATTTTTGTTTTAGTATATTTTAAGCAAAATAATATCTTGCCGAAATTCTTGGTTGTTCTGAAACTGACCTTGGGTTCTAAAACTGACATTTTGTTTCTGAAACTGACCCTTTGTTCTGAAACTGACCTTTTGTTCTGAAACTGACCTTTTGTTCTCAAACGGACCTTTTGTTGTCAAACTGATCTTTTGTTCTCAAACTGACCTTTTGTTCTGAAACTGACCTTTTGTTCTCAAACTGACCTTTCGTTCTGAAAGTGACCTTTTGTTCTGAAACTGACCTTTTGTTCTTAAACTGACCTTTCATTCTGAAAGTGACCTTTTGTTCTGAAACTGACCTTTTGTTCTCAAACTGACCTTTTGTTCTGAAACTGACCTTTTGTTCTGAAACTGACATTTTGTTCTGAAACTGACCTTTTGTTCTGAAACTGACATTTTGTTCTCAAACTGACCTTTTGTTCTGAAACTGATCTTTTGTCCTAAAACTGACCTTTTGTTCTGAAACTGACCTTTTGTTCTGAAACTGATCTTTTGTCCTAAAACTGACCTTTTGTCCTGAAACTGACCTTTTGTTCTAAAACCGATCTTCTGTCCTAAAACCGATCTTCTGTCCTCAAACTGACCTTTTGTTCTGAAACTGACCTTTTGTTCTGAAACTGATCTTTTGTCCTAAAACTGATCTTTTGTCCTAATACTGATCTTTTGTTCTAAAACTGATCTTTTGTCCTAAAACTGATCTTTTGTCCTAAAACTGACTTTTTGTTCTGAAACTGATTCTTTGTTCTGCAGTTGACCTTTTACTCTGAAACTGACCTTTTACTCTGAAACTGACCTTTTGCTCTGAAATTATTATCTGTAAACATGAGAACAATACTCAAGATCTCTGTCGACAGTCAAGAAAATAATCAGAGAACCATAACTTCTTCAGAACTTAGAGAACAAGTAAATAAGGGTGGAGTCAACAAATAAATAGAGAATCAGTGGTGTGTGAAATATCTTCACAATGTTAGAAGGCACAAGATGTCATGGTTCAATGGTTCTCATTCTGTTTCTTCACAAACAAAACAACTACAACAAGACTACTGGTAATAAATCCTAAATAGCCAAAGGACTTGAACCCAAACTCTCGAAGCATGTATCCGCCGACTGTGGGAGACAGGGAACGAATGAATGAATTCACTGCCATACTTAGTCCAAGCATGGCTCCTGAAAGATGTTTAGAGATTCTTGTGAACAACTTCAAATAGTAACAATCTAACTAGGTAACTGTCTCTAAGTAGGTTCCTTATTTGTAATTAGGTCACATATTTTCACTAGGTCATATTTTCATTAGGTCACATACTTGTAACTAGGTCACATAACTGTAACTAGGTTGCACACTGTAACTAGGTCACATACCTGTAGCTAGATCACACACCCTTTTATAACTGTGAGCTATTCATGGCATCATTTTGTTCCTCACGGATGTGTCCATAACATATAAGGCTAGCATCATATACATCAATGAATGATTAACTGATCATACTTGTCAGCGTCTGATTGATTTGTCATATAGTCAATGGCTGACTGATTGATCATGCCTTTCAATGGCTGACTGATTTATCATTTACATCAAGGGCATGAAAAGGACTCTTACTGTTTTTAGTCAGCAAATAGGTCTTACAAAAAATCCCAGGCTTTACACCTTAAACATCACAAACATGTAAATAGGTCAGACACCTGTAAGCAGGTCACCTACCTGTATCGCTGTCACTGACAGTGTGAGTCAGGGCACTGGTTGTGAGGACATTCTGGAAGGTTAGGCCCATGATCAGGGGGATGAAGACCAAGCACATCTGCCAGATTGTGGTGACAAGTGACTGCAGACATCGATATGCAGGTCAATGATTGAAGACAATAAACCACGCAACACAGTTACAGTTTATGAAGTCAATATAGTTCAATTTTACTGAGAATAATTATTAAAAGAATAAGAAACAAAATTAAACCAGAAATCAGCGATGAACAGTGTGGATTTATAGAAAGAAAAGATCCAAACAATGCCATATTTATCCAAAGGACATTGTCAGAAAAATTAAACATTGATGGAAAAGATCTACGAATAGTAAAGAATATATATTGGCACCAAACAGCTGCTATAAGAATTAACAACTGTTTAGGTACATTTCAGAGCATAAAGAGGGGCGTACAACAAGGATGTGTACGGTCACCTGATTTGTTTTCACTATACAGTGAATATATAATGAGAGATTTAATTGATATGCCCGGAATTGTGGTTGGTACGCACATTATAAACAATTTATGTTATGCTGATGACACAGTCTTGATTGCAACAAGTCAGAAAGAACTGCAGGAAATGATAGACATGTGTTTTCATGAGAGTTAGAAAAAGGATTCTTGCTTGCTACAATAATCCAGTTTTAACATATGGATGTGAGTCCTAGACAATTGGTACACAGGCAAAACAATTTCTGGAGGCCTCGGAGATGTGGTTTTACAGAAGAATGCTTAAAATACCTTGGACAGCCAAAAAGAGCAACCAAGAGGTTTTGAAAGAGGCAGAAGCCCAAAGACAACTGATCACATACATCAGAAGGAGACAGTCATCATTTTTCGGCCATATTATGAGAAGAGGGAAAATGGAACATGTTGTGACCGCTGGAAAGATTTGTGGAAGAAGGGTTAGAGGAAGACAACAAGAGAAGATTCTTGACAGTCTTGTTGCATGAAATGGAGGTGTGTCAGCAAACGAACTGATACATGCTGCACGAGATCGTAGATTGTGGAGAGGCATGATCGCCCATGCCAGTTGGCAAGACAACTGATGATGATGATGATGATGATGATAGGTAAATTACTGAAGACAATCAATGATAAGAGACAGTTACAAGTTACGATATTACCATGTACATCAATGATTGAAGACAATCAACAAGATACAGTTACAAGTTATGACATCAACATGTACATCAATGATTGAAGACAATCAACAAGATACAGTTACAAGTTATGACATCAACATGTACATCAATGATTGAAGACAATCAACAAGATACAGTTACAAGTTATGACATCAAACATGTACGTCAATGATTGAAGACAATCAACGACAAGATACAGTTACAAGTTATGACATCACATGTACATCATGATTGAAGACAATCCACAAGATACATACAGTTACAAGTTATGACATCAACATGTACGTCAATGATTAAAGACAATCAACGACAAGATACAGTTACAAGTTATGACATTAACATGTACATCAATGATTGAAGACAATCAACGACAAGATACAGTTACAAGTTATGACATCAACATGTACGTCAATGATTGAAGACAATCAACGACAAGATACAGTTACAAGTTATGACATCAACATGTACATCAATGATTGAAGACAATCAACGACAAGATACAGTTACAAGTTATGACATCAACATGTACGTCAATGATTGAAGACAATCAACGACAAGATACAGTTTACAAGTTATGACATCACATGTACATGTACTCAATGATTGAAGACAATCAACGACAAGATACAGTTACAAGTTATGACATTAACATGTACGTTAATGATTGAAGACAATCAACGACAAGATACAGTTACAAGTTATGACATTAACATGTACATTAATGATTGAAGACAATCAACGACAAGATACAGTTACAAGTTATGACATTAACATGTACGTCAATGATTGAAGACAATCAACAAGATACAGTTACAAGTTATGACATCAACATGTACGTTAATGATTGAAGACAATCAACGACAAGATACAGTTACAAGTTATGACATCAACATGTACGTCAATGATTGAAGACAATCAACAAGATACAGTTACAAGTTATGACATTAACATGTACGTCAATGATTGAAGACAATCAACGACAAGATACAGTTACAAGTTATGACATTAACATGTACATCAATGATTGAAGACAATCAACAAGATACAGTTACAAGTTATGACATTAACATGTACGTCAATGATTGAAGACAATCAACGACAAGATACAGTTACAAGTTATGACATCAACATGTACATCAATGATTGAAGACAATCAACGACAAGATACAGTTACAAGTTATGACATTAACATGTACGTCAATGATTGAAGACAATCAACGACAAGATACAGTTACAAGTTATGACATTACCATGTACGTCAATGATTGAAGACAATCAACGACAAGATACAGTTACAAGTTATGACATCAACATGTACGTCAATGATTGAAGACAATCAACAAGATACAGTTACAAGTTATGACATCAACATGTACGTCAATGATTGAAGACAATCAACAAGATACAGTTACAAGTTATGACATCAACATGTACGTCAATGATTGAAGACAATCAACAATAGACATAGTTACAAGTTATGACATCAACATGTACATCAATGATTGAAGACAATCAACAAGATACAGTTACAAGTTATGACATCAACATGTACGTCAATGATTGAAGACAATCAACGACAAGATACAGTTACAAGTTATGACATCAACATGTACGTCAATGATTGAAGACAATCAACAAGATACAGTTACAAGTTATGACATCAACATGTACGTTAATGATTGAAGACAATCAACGACAAGATACAGTTACAAGTTATGACATTAACATGTACGTCAATGATTGAAGACAATCAACGACAAGATACAGTTACAAGTTATGACATCAACATGTACGTCAATGATTGAAGACAATCAACAAGATACAGTTACAAGTTATGACATCAACATGTATGTTAATGATTGAAGACAATCAACGACAAGATACAGTTACAAGTTATGACATCAACATGTACGTCAATGATTGAAGACAATCAACGACAAGATACAGTTACAAGTTATGACATTAACATGTACGTCAATGATTGAAGACAATCAACAATAGACATAGTTACAAGTTATGACATCAACATGTACGTCAATGATTGAAGACAATCAACAAGATACAGTTACAAGTTATGACATCAACATGTACGTCAATGACTGACAATCAACAATAGACATAGTTACAAGTTATGACATTAACATGTAGGTCAATGATTGAAGACAATCAATGACAAGACAGTTACAAGTTAGGACATTAACCCTACCAGACCTGAGGCCCTGAACCTAACTGTCCCTATAACCTGAGGCCCTGAACCTAACTGTCCCTATAACCTGAGCTCCTAGGCACTAACATGAAAAAACCAACATGATGTACAAAAAAATTAGTTCCATGCAAACAAGTGGTTAGAATAAGATGAAATTGGAGACATTGTAGAAAATAGGTTTACCTTTCATCTAGCGCCAATCTTCCACCTTTGTGTGGCAATCCACCTTGTAGGATCAGTCATGTTTCAAAAAGTAAGCACCAGATGTTGCTGTTTGAGGGACACGCCCCCTTCTCTTATTATCGATCTAGTTTTAAATCTATAATTTTCATAATTCTCCTCCTCACTCTAGCTCTCACTGACTGTGTCACTTCAACTGGGAATGTATTCTTCATGAACGTATTCACAGTCTGAATAAACCAAAGTATCGATCACCTGTTGGACTGTTAAAAGCCTAGACCTGTCGAAGCCGCTCATTTCATTGAGAATTTCAAGAATTTTTTACACATCAAACCACACAAATAAATCTCAACAGACGTGGGAAGTCATTGGCAATGACTAACAACGAAGTCTACTGGCGATTGACTGGTTATTTTCAGTCTGTGACGCATATTTTTTACGTACTGCGTAAATTCCCGGAAAATGGGGCCAGCAGTCTGGCAGGGTTAACATGCAGGTCAATGATTGAAGACAATCAACAACAAGACACAGTCACAAGTTGGAATATTATATGACTGATAGTTATCTATATAAGACAAAGACTTACCAAAAACAGATAGCCAATCACACAGACAAAAAGACTTACCAAAATAGACAGACAACCCACACATAAACACATACTTAACAAAAAACTGACAGCCAACAACAAAGACAAATACAGACTTACAAAACAACAGATATCAAACCCCACAGACTTACCAACAACAGATAGCAAACCTTACAAACATACCAACAACAGAAAGCAAACCCCACAAACAAAGCCAACCACGCAGACAAAATAATTTACCAACAATAGACAGTTAATTACACTGACAAAATAATTTACCAACAACAGATAGCCAAACCCACACTCAAATACAGACTTACTAACAACAGAAAGCCAAACCCACACACAAATACAGACTTACCAACAACAGAAAGCCAAACCCACACACAAATACAGACTTACCAACAACAGATAGCCAAACCCACACACATAAACAGACTTACCAACAACAGACAGCCAACCACACACAAATACAGACTTACCAACAACAGATAGCCAACCACACACAAATACACTTACCAACAACAGACAGCCAACCATACACAAATACAGACTTACCAACAACAGATAGCCAACCACACACAAATACAGACTTACCAACAACAGACAGCAAACCACACACAAATACAGACTTACCAACAACAGATAGCCAACCACACACAAATACAGACTTACCAACAACAGATAGCCAACCACACACAAATACAGACTTACCAACAACAGACAGCCAACCACACACAAATACAGACTTACCAACAACAGATAGCCAACCACAAGTATGCAGGCTGACCCAAATAGAATGTTGAGCTCAGACAGTTTCTTGGTGACGATTCCAATACCCACACCTTGTACCAGCTGTGAGGCAAGTGAGAAAATCAGTGTGGGAAAGCTGAACTAGGTGTGGGAGTAAGTGAGAAAATCAGTGTGGGAAAGCTGAATTAGGTGTGAGAGTGGGGGGGAATAGGAAAGAACTGGTCTAGGAGAATCCTAGCATTTTCCCCCGGCTGTGACTCAGTAGTTACAATTTACACTGTTGGCAAAAAAACCACAACAAGACCAGTACTGTAGATTGTTAGACCGACACATGACTGCAGATTGTTAGACCGACACATGACTGCAGATTGTTAGACCGACACATGACTGCAGATTGTTAGACTGACACATGACTGCAGATTGTTAGACTGACACATGACTGCAGATTGTTAGATGGACACATGACTGCAGATTGTTAGACTGACACATGACTGCAGATTGTTAGACCGACACATGACTGCAGATTGTTAGACCGACACATGACTGCAGATTGTTAGACCGACACATGACTGTAGATTGTTAGACCGACACATGACTGCAGATTGTTAGACCGACACATGACTGCAGATTGTTAGACCGACACATGACTGCAGATTGTTAGACCGACACATGACTGCAGATTGTTAGACCGACACATGACTACAGATTGTTAGACTGACATATTACTGCAAATTGTTCGACACATGACTGCAGATTGTTAGACTGACACATGACTGCAGATTGTTAGACCGACACATGACTGCAGATTGTTAGACCGACACATTCATGTCTGTTGTAAAGTAAAGAAACAAATAATGTAATCATCATGTGAATATATCATCTTCTTGATCACTGGGGAACCATTTGAAATCCAGCCGATGTTGATCATTTGATGGCTGGGTCACATGGTCTTGCTCACAGCCAGAAGAACACATGTCCGCTGGCGTGCCGTGAAGATAACCAACAACTCACACATTTCAAATGTACCCTGGCTATTATTCCTTGAAAGAAACTCTATTAATTTTTCATCTTATTAAACAATTTTCTTACTATTTTGTATTTTGTTTTAAAAAGAGAAGAGTAACACAAAATCAGAAATATATTTCAGCGCAGAAAATACACTGTTCACTGACCACACTTCTATGTTGAACAAAGCAACACGATAATGTGAAACACATCTTAACACACCTTAACGCACATAATAAGGGTTTTAATTGTATGTAAAGAATTTATATAACGTGTATTGCCACTTCTGTCTATACTTCACTTTGTGGTGACAGCATGTTTCAGTTTGGCAATCAGATCTGTCCAGTACAGTCTATACTTCACTTTGTGGTGACTGCATGTTTCAGTTTGGCATTGTGATCTGTCTAGTACAGTCTATACTTCACTTTGTGGTGACTGCATGTTTCAGTTTGGCATTGTGATCTGTCTAGTACAGTCTATACTTCACTTTGTGGTGACAGCATGTTTTAGTTTGGCAATCAGATCTGTCCAGTACAGTCTATACTTCACTTTGTGGTGACAACATGTTTCAGTGTGGCAATCAGATCTCTCTAGTACAGTCTATACTTCACGTTGTGGTGACAGCATGTTTCAGTTTGGCAATGCGATCTGTCTAGTACAGTCTAAACTTCACTTTGTGCTGACAGCATGTTTCAGTGTGGCAATGAGATCTGTCCAGTACAGTCTATACTTCACTTTGTGGTGACAACATGTTTCAGTATGGCAATCAGATCTGTCTAGTACAGTCTATACTTCACTTTGTGCTGACAGCATGTTTCAGTTTGGCAATGAGATCTGTCTAGTACAGTCTATACTTCACTTTGTGCTGACAGCATGTTTCAGTTTGGCAATGAGATCTGTCTAGTACAGTCTATACTTCACTTTGTGCTGACAGCATGTTTCAGTTTGGCAATGAGATCTGTCTAGTACAGTCTATACTTCACTTTGTGGTGACTGCATGTTTCAGTTTGGCAATGAGATCTGTCTAGTACAGTCTATACTTCACTTTATGGTGACTGCATGTTTCAGTTTGGAAATCAGATCTGTCTAGTACAGTCTATACTTCACTTTGTGGTGACAGCATGTTTTAGTATGGCAATGAGATTTCTTTAGTAAGGTCCATTAAATACACTGCCATACACAACATTCAGACACAACATCCAGACACAACATCCCTACACAACATTCAGAAACAACATCTAGACACAACATCCAGACACAACATCCCCACACAACATTCAGACACAATATCCAGGCACAGCATCCAGACACAGCATCCAGACACAACAGCAAGACACAACAGTCAGACACAGCATCCAGACACAACAGTCAGACACAAAATCCAGACACAGCATCCAGACACAACATCCAGACACAACATCCAGACACAACATCCAGACACAACATCCAGACACAACAGTCAGACACAGCAGTCAGACACAACATCCAGACACAACATCCAGACACAACATCCAGACACAACAGTCAGACACAGCATCCAGACACAACATCCAGACACAACAGTCAGACACAGCATCCAGACACAAAATCCAGACACAGCATCCAGACACAACATCCAGACACAACAGTCAGACACAACAGCCAGACACAAAATCCAGACACAGCATCCAGACACAACAGTCAGACACAGCATTCAGACACAACATCCAGACACAACAGTCAGACACAGCATCCAGACACAACAGCCAGACACAACAGCCAGACACAAAATCCAGACACAGCATCTAGACACAACATCCAGACACAACAGTCAGACACAGAAGTCAGACACAATATCCAGACACAATATCCAGACACAACAGTCAGACACAGCATCCAGACACAACATCCAGACACAACAGTCAGACACAGCATCCAGACACAACAGCCAGACACAACAGCCAGACACAACAGTCAGACACAACATCTAGACACAACATCCAGACACAACAGTCAGACACAGAAGTCAGACACAATATCCAGACACAATATCCAGACACAACAGTCAGACACAGCATCCAGACACAACATCAAGACACAACAGTCAGACACAACAGCCAGACACAACAGTCAGACACAGCAGTCAGACACAACATCCAGACACAGCAGTCAGACACAACAGCCAGACACAACATCCAGACACAACATCCAGACACAGCATCCAGACACAATTGCCAGACACAACATCCAGACACAACAGTCAGACACAACAGCCAGACACAACAGCCAGACACAACAGCCAGACACAACAGCCAGACACAACAGCCAGACACAACAGTCAGACACAATAGTCAGACACAATAGTCAGACACAATAGTCAGACACAACAGCCATACACAACAGCCATACAAAACAGCCAGACACAACAGTCAGACACAACAGCCAGACACAACAGCCAGACACAACAGCCAGACACAACAGTCAGACACAACAGCCAGACACAACAGCCAGACACAATAGTCAGACACAACAGCCAGACACAACAGCCAGACACAATAGTCAGACACAATAGTCAGACACAACAGCCATACACAACAGTCAGACACAACAGCCATACACAACAGCCAGACACAACAGTCAGACACAACAGTCAGACACAACAGCCATACACAACAGTCAGACACAACAGCCAGACACAACAGTCAGACACAACAGCCAGACACAACAGTCAGACACAACAGCCCTACACAACTGACAGACACAACAGCCAGACACAACAGCCAGACACAACAGCCAGACACAACAGCCAGACACAACAGCCCTACACAACAGCCAGACACAACAGCCCTACACAACTGACAGACACAACAGCCAGACACAACATTCAGACACAACAGCCCTACAAAACTGACAGACACAACAGCCCTACACAACTGACAGACACAACAGCCAGACACAACATCCAGACACAGCATTAAGACACAACATCCAGACACAGCATCCAGACACAACATCCAGACACAACATCCAGATACAATATAAAGACACAACAGCCAGACACAACATCCAGACACAATATCCAGACACAACAGTCAGAAGCAGCATCCAGACACAACATATAGATACAACATCTAGACACAACATCCAGACACAACAGTCAGACACAGCATCCAGACACAACATCCAGACACAACATCCAGACACAACACCAGACACAACAGCCAGACACAACATCAAGACACAACATCCAGACACAGCAGCCAGACACAGCATCCAGACACAACATATAGACACAACATCTACACACAACATCCATACACAACAGTCAGACACAACAGTCAGACACAACAGTCAGACACAACACCAGACACAACAGCCAGACACAACAGCCAGACACAACATCTAGACACAACATCCAGACACAACAGTCAGACACAACAGCCAGACACAACAGCCAGACACAATAGTCAGACACAACAGCCAGACACAACAGTCAGACACAACATCTAGACACAACAGCCAGACACAACAGCCAGACACAACATCCAGACACAACAGCCAGACAAAACAGTCAGACACAACAGCCAGACACAACATCCAGACACAACATCCAGACACAACATTCAGACACAACAGTCAGACACAACAGTCAGTCACAACAGCCAGACACAACATCCAGACACAACATCCAGACACAACAGCCAGACACAACAGCCAGACACAACTGACAGACACAACAGCCAGACACAACATCCAGACACAGCATCCAGACACAACAGCCAGATACAACATCCAGACACAACATCCAGACACAGCATCCAGACACAGCAGCCAGACACAACAGCCAGACACAACAGCCAGACACAACTGACAGACACAACAGCCAGACACAACTGACAGACACAACAGCCAGACACAACATCCAGACACAACATCCAGACACAGCATCCAGACACAACAGCCAGATACAACATCCAGACACAACATCCAGACACATATTCCAGACACAACAGCCAGACACAACAGCCAGACACAACATCCAGATACTATATCGAGACACAACAGCCAGACACAACAGCCAGGCACAACATCCAGACACAACAGTCAGAAGCAGCATCCAGACACAACATCTAGACACAACATCCAGACACAACAGTCAGACACAGCATCCAGACACAACATCCAGACACAACACCAGACACAACAGCCAGACACAACATCAAGACACAACATCCAGACACAGCAGCAAGACACAGCATCCAGACACAACAGCCAGACACAACAGACAGACACAACATCCAGACATAACAGCCAGACACAACATCCAAAGACAACATCCAGACACAACATCCAGACACAGCAGCCAGACACAACATCCAGACACAATAGCCAGACACAACATCCAGACACACAGCCAGACACAACATCCAGACACAACAGCCAGACACAACATCCAGACACAACATCCCCACACAACATCCAGACACAACATCCCCACACAACATCCAGACACAACATCCCCACACAACATCCAGACACAACATCCAAACACAACATCCAGACACAGCATCCAGACACAATATCCAAACACAACATCCAGACACAGCTGTCAGACACAACATCCAGACACAACAGTCAGACACACAGCCAGACACAACATCCAGACACAACATTCAGACACAGCATCCAGACACAACATCCAGACACAACATCCAGACACAGCATCCAGACACAACATCCAGACACAACAGTCAGACACAGCATCCAGACACAACATCCAGACTCAACAGCCAGACACAACAGCCAGACTCAGCATCCAGACACAACAGCCAGACACAGCATCCAGACACAACATCCAGACACAGCAGTCAGACACAACATCCAGACACAATATCCAGACACAGCATCCAGACACAGCATCCAGACACAACAGCCAGACACAATATCCAGACACAACATCCAGACACAGCATCCAGACACAACAGCCAGACACAATATCCAGACACAACATCCAGACACAGCATCCAGACACAACAGCCAGACACAGCATCCAGACACAACAGCCAGACACAGCATCCAGACACAACAGCCAGACACAGCATCCAGACACAACAGCCAGAAACAGCAGTCAGACACAACAGCCAGACACAGCATCCAGACACAACATCCAGACACAACAGCCAGACACAACAGCCAGACACAACACTGGATGCAAACCCTTACCATGGCCATGACCCCAATGTATGACATGATGTAGCTGTTGTGCTCAGCGGACAGCTTAAACGTATCCAAGGCAACAATGCTAAACATGCTCTGGAATATTCCAATGGGAACACCTGCAAGAACAGAGGAGAAAGCAAGATACAGCACATGTATAGCTCAGCCTGCATACAGCATAAAAACAGCACACATACACCTACGCTTGTAAACATATAGTGCACATATAGCACATCCCAAATACAGCAACCATATAACACATTCATAGCTCAGTCTGTATACAGTAAACATGTAGTGCACAAAGGTCAGTAAATATATAGCAAAAACACAGTGGACATAAGTCTGAGTCCGTACACAGAAAACATCAGACATGATCACACACAACTGCTGAGTCCGTACACAGAAAACATCAGACATGATCACATACAACTGCTGAGTCCGTACACAGAAAACATCAGACATGATCACATACAACTGCTGAGTCCATACACAGAAAACATCAGACATGATCACATACAACTGCTGAGTCCGTAGTCCGTACACAGAAAACATCAGACATGATCACATAAACTGCTGAGTCTGTACACAGAAAACATCAGACATGATCACATACAACTGCTGAGTCTGTAGACAGAAAACATCAGACATGATCACACACAACTGCTGAGTCTGTAGACAGAAAACATCAGACATGATCACATACAACTGCTGAGTCTGTAGACAGAAAACATCAGACATGATCACACACAACTGCTGAGTTTGTAGACAGAAAACATCAGACATGATCACATACAACTGCTGAGTCTGTAGACAGAAAACATCAGACATGATCACATACAACTGCTGAGTCTGTAGACAGAAAACATCAGACATGATCACATACAACTGCTGAGATCTCAGGCAAGGCTACCACCTCCAGCTTCTCTCCTAGAAGCCTTGTTGTGAATCTCACAAATAGAGTGCAGCCACATGACAACAGACATAAATAGAGTGGAGCCACCTTGCAACAGACATAAACAGAGTGGAGCCACCTCACAACAGACACAAATAGTGGAGCCACCTCACAACAGACATAAACAGAGTGGAGCCACCTCACAACAGAGATAAATAGAGTGGAGCCACCTCACAGCTGAAATAGAGTGCAGCTACCTCACAACAGACATAAACAGAGTGCAGCCACCTCACAACAGACATAAACAGAGTGAAGCCACCTCACAACAGACATAAACAGTGTGGAGCCATGTCACAACAGACATAAACAGAGTGGAGCCACCTCACAGCTGACATAAACAGAGTGAAGCCATGTCACAACAGACATCAACAGAGTGCAGCCACCTCACAACAGGTATAAACAGAGTGGAGCCATCTCACAACAGGTATAAACAGAGTGGAGCCATCTCACAACAGACATAAACAGAGTGTTAGCCACCTCCCAACAGACATAAACAGATTAGAGCCACCTCACAACAGACATAAACAGAGTGGAGCCAGCTTACAACAGACATAAACAGAGTGCAGCCACCTCACAACAGACATAAACTGAGAGCAGCCACCTCACAACAGAAATAAACAGAGAGCAGCCACCTCACAACAGACATAAACAGAGTGGAGCCACCTCACAACAGACATAAGCAGAGTGGAGCCACCTCACAACAGACATAAACAGAGCGCAGCCACCTCACAACAGGTATAAACAGAGTGCAGCCACCTCACAACAGACATAAACAGAAAACATCAGACATGATCACACACAACTGCTGAGTCCGTACACAGAAAACATCAGACATGATCACATACAACTGCTGAGTCCGTACACAGAAAACATCAGACATGATCACATACAAATGCTAAGTCCGTACACAGAAAACATCAGACATGATCACATACAACTGCTGAGTCCGTACACAGAAAACATCAGACATGATCACATACAACTGCTGAGTCCATACACAGAAAACATCAGACATGATCACATACAACTGCTGAGTCCGTACACAGAAAACATCAGACATGATCACATACAACTGCTGAGTCTGTACACAGAAAAAATCAGACTTGATCACATACAACTGCTGAGATCTAAGGCAAGGCTACCACCTCCAGCTTCTTGTGTAGCCACCTCACAACAGACATAAACAGAGTGGAGCCACCTCACAACAGACATAAACAGAGTGGAGACACCTCACAACAGACATAAACAGAGTGCAGCCACATCACAACAGACATAAACAGAGAGCAGCCACCTCACAGCTGACATAAACAGAGTGGAGCCACCTCACAACAGACATAGAGTGGAGCCACCTCACAATAGACATAAACAAAGTGGAGCCACCTCACAAAAGACATAAACAGAGTAGAGCCACCGCACAACAGACATAAACAGAGTGGAGAACCTCACAGCAGACATAAACAGAGTGCAGCCACCTCACAACAGACATAAACAGAGTGTAGCCACCTCACAACAGACATAAACAGAGTAGAGCCACCTCACAATAGACATAAACAGAGTGGAGCCACCTCACAACAGACATAGAGTGGAGCCACCTCACAACAGACATAAACAAAGTGGAGCCACGTCACAAAAGACATAAACAGAGTAGAGCTACCGCACAACAGACATAAACAGAGTGGAGCAACCTCACAGCAGACATAAACAGAGTGCAGCCACCTCACAACAGACATAAACAGAGAGCAGCCACCTCACAGCAGACATAAACAAACTAATTTACACAAACTGTAACACTTTTACAAACAATATAAGAAGGAGAGAAATCAATAAACATTAACAGAGTGGAGAATTAAATGGAATACATTTCCTTGACCCACTCACCCAATAATAAATAGTTTTACAACAACTCACACCTTGACCCACTCATCCAATAACAAATAGTTTTACAACAACTCACACCTTGACCCACTCATCCAATAACAAATAGTTTTACAACAACTCACACCTTGACCCACTCACCAGTTAACAAATAGTTTTACAACAACTTAACTCACACCTTGACCCACTCACCCAATAACAAATAGTTTTACAACAACTCAAACAACTCAAACCTTGACTTCCACCACTGTGATATCTGAAAGTTAACGGTCAATTGTGACATCATGATGTCTGTTGTTTATAAAGATGTAGTAAATAGCATATCCGGATCTCTAAAAACTGCACAGATGCAAACAGAACCAATGTCATGAACTAGACTTATCAGGGACTGGTCGATGCAGCAATGCCAGTTTAAGTAAGGTCTTAAATGAAATGTGTAGTGGACATTATGCCAGATCAGTGGCATCTCGGGAATAAAGGCAATAAACACATGGCACCTACAACTCACCTGTAGCCATCTTAATACACAACAGAAACATGGCACCCACAACTCACCTGTAGCCATCTTAATACACAACAGAAACATGGCACCTACAACTCACCTGTAGCCAGCTTAATGCACAACAGAAACATGGCACCTACAACTCACCTGTAGCCAGCTTAATACACAACAGAAACATGGCACCTACAACTCACCTGTAGCCAGCTTAATGCACAACAGAAACATGGCACCTGGTGCCATCAACAGCTGGGAGATCTTTCTGACATTGAACACATTCTGCTCATGATCTGAGGGAGAAATATAACACAATATGAGAGAGAAACATACAGGACATTGGACAATCTGAGGGAGAAATATAACATAATTTGAGAGAGAAACAAACAGGACATTGGACAATCTGAGAGAGAAATATAACACAATATGAGAGAGAAACATACAGGACATTGGACAATCTGAGGGAGAAACAGGCAGTACAATGGACAATCTGAGGGAGAAACAGTCAGGACATTAGACAACATGAGAGAGAAACAAACAGGACATTAGAAAATCTGAGGGAGAAACAGGCAAGACATTAGACAATCTGAGGGAGAAACAGGCAGGACATTAGACAACATGAGGGAGAAACAGGTAAGACATTCGAGAATTTAAGGGAGAAACAGGCAGGACATTAGACAACATGAGGGAGAAACAGGCAAGATATTAGACGATCTGAGGGAGAATCAGGCAAGACATTAGACGATCTGAGGGAGAAACAGGCAAGACATTAGACAACATGAGGGAGAAACAGGCAGGACATTAGACAACATGAGGGAGAAACAGGCAAGACATTAGACTATGTGAGGGAGAAACAGGTAAGACATTAGACCATCTGAAGAAGAAACAGGCAAGACAATACAGTATCTGTCAGAGAAACAGGCAGGACATTAGAAAACATGATAGAGAAATAGGCAAGACATTACAGTATCTGACAGAGAAACAGGCAAGACATTAGAAACCTACCTAGAGGAAGTCCAGTCAAGTGAGACAACTGGGTGTTTTCTTGTTTCACTATACACAAGAATGCTTCCTGCTAACTGCTATATATTTGTACTCTAACTTAATGACAGACATGCAGACAGATAGACAAACAGCAACTCACAGACAAACAGCAACACAACTAAAGACAAAAATGAATATTACAGATGACAACACAAAGACAAACACAAATGACAACATTGACAACACAAAAACAGATACAAATGATTATTTCAAATGACAACATTGACAATACAATGACAGACACAAATGATACTTTAAATGACAACACTGACAACACAAAGACAGACACGAATGACAACGCAGACAACAAACGTTATTTTTAAAGGGTTACAAATTGGGCACGCATGCCCGTCTGACATTTGGCCCTTCTAAGCACTCATTTTTCGGAGTACCGATGCCTGTTATCAATAATGCATGTTTTTGATTTAATGAAGAATTATACATTATAGAATAATGCATAACACATCATGCGTACACAATCTTACACACTTACACACACGTATATATACTCTTACATTCTCATGCATACACACTCATATACAGACATACCTAATACATACATATACGCATCTACATACATACACAAACAGAAAACACACACACATACACATATGGACATATATGCACACACACATTCCATACATACACACCTACACATGCATGCATGCATAAACACACACATACAATCACATGTACAGACACCCACAACCACACATTTACACTCACATGCATACATACATACACACATACAACACAAAGACAGACACAAATGACAACACTGACAACACAGTAAGAGCAGAAAAAAAGGAAACAATAAACCTGAGACGACCTTTGGCGATGGCTCTCTTTGTGACGACAGGCACACAGATGTAGGTGATCAAGATGCTGATGATCGACAGCAGGCAGGCAACAATGGCAGCTTTGTCCAGACTGTCAGAGAGAAAGAGAGATAACCCCACTTTGTTAAGATAATCTTGTGCTGACCAGGCAGCTGCAAGGTATTTCTCCAAAGGATTTAGTAGCAGCCAGGCATTCTCTAACTTCTCTCTTCTAATCTTAAACCACCTAATCATTCAACTTCTCTCTTCTAATCTTAAACCACCTAATCATTCAACTTCTCTCTTCTAGTCTAGAACCACCTAATCATTCAACTTCTCTCTTTTAATCTTAAACCACCTAATCATTCAACTTCTCTCTTCTAATCTTAAACCACCTAATCATTCAACTTCTCTCTTCTAATCTTAAACCACCTAATCATTCAACTTCTCTCTTCTAATCTTAAACCACCTAATCATTCAACTTCTCTCTTCTAGTCTAGAACCACCTAATTATTTAACTTCTATCCTCTAGTCTGCTGATCAGCTCATTACCTCATACAACATCAGAAAAGTCATGCAGTGGATTCCAGGTCCCTCCGGCACACCAGGTAATGACAGAGCTGACAGATTGGCAAAGAAAGGAGCCACACAAGAACAACCACCTACAGCGACAACCCTCCAGACAGCAAAAACACTGATAAGAGCTATAAACAAAGAGACTTGGTTGAACGGATGGGCCATGGGAGACACTGGAAGAGAGGTTTATAGACATATGTCTGGCCCTGATCCTAATGACAGCATTAACCATCTAACAAGAAGGGACCAGGCCACCATCTTCAGATTTAGAACACAACATACTCCACTCAATGGACATCTAAAAAGAATATAGCCACAACACCCCCCAGAGCGCCAGCTATGTAAATTAAACTTCTCTCTTCTAATGCAGAACCACTTAAACATTTAACTTCTCTTTTCTAATGCAGAACCATCTAATCCTTCAACTTCTCTCCTCTAATCCAGAACCATCTAATCCTTCAACTTCTCTCCTCTTACCCAGAACCATCTAATCCTTCAATGTCTCTCCTCTAATCCAGAACCATTTAATCCTTCAAATTCTCTCCTCTAATCCAGAACCATTTAATCCTTCAATGTCTCTCCTCTAATCCAGAACCATTTAATCCTTCAACTTCTCTCCTCTAATCCAGAACCACCTAATCCTTCAACTTCTCTCCTCTAATCCAGAACCATTTAATCCTTCAATGTCTCTCCTCTAATCCAGAACCATTTAATCCTTCAACTTCTCTCCTCTAATCCAGAACCATTTAATCCTTCAATGTCTCTCCTCTAATCCAGAACCACCTAATCCTTCAACTTCTCTCCTCTAATCCAGAACCATTTAATCCTTCAACTTCTCTCCTCTCATCCAGAACCACCTAATCCTTCAACTTCTCTCCTCTTATCCATAACCATCTAATCCTTCAACTTCTCTCCTCTTATCCAGAACCATCTAATCCTTCAACTTCTCTCCTCTAATCCAGAACCACCTAACCCTTCATCTCTCCTCTTACCCAGAACCATCTAATCCTTCAACTTCTCTCCTCTAATCCAGAACCATCTAATCCTTCAACTTCTCTCCTCTAATCCAGAACCATCTAATCCTTCAACTTCTCTCCTCTTACCCAGAACCATCTAATCCTTCAACGTCTCTCCTCTAATCCAGAACCACCTAACCCTTCATCTCTCCTCTAATCTGGAACCATCTAATCCTTCAACATCTCTCCTCTAATTCAGAACCATCTAATCCTTCATCTCTCCTCTAATCCAGAACCATATAATCATTCAACTTCTCTCCTCTTACCCAGAACCATCTAATCCTTCAACTTCTCTCCTCTCACCCAGAACCATCTAATCATTCTAGTGTTTTCTTATCACCTACAGGTTGGAACTGTTGGAGATGGCTGTGGTAGTAGTTCCTACTTTCTGAAAGCACATTTGCTGTCTTCTCTATGCTACTGGTGTCACTATCTCTCTGGAACATTCTGGACTAACCTTTCACACAAAAAAGAAGCTCATATAAAATCTGACACAAATGATTGAAGGGCCACATGTCCACAGCAAGCATTACACCACAGAAACAGCCCTGAAACAAGGCATATTGCGGTGAGATCAATTCACGTCTGCATTACACCACAGAAACAGCCCTGAAACAAGGCATATTGCGGTGAGATCAATTCACGTCTGCATTACACCACAGAAACAGCCCTGAAACAAGGCATATTGCGGTGAGATCAATTCACGTCTGCATTACACCAGGGAAACAGCCCTGAAACAAGGCATATTGCGGTGAGATCAATTCACGTCTGCATTATGTGATGCACAATCAGGTGTGGGCTACTGACCTCAGAAGGGAATAGGAAAAAGAAAAGAAAAAAATGGAAGAACTATTCTCTGTGGACTATTTTAACAAATGTTTGACTCTGTGAAAACTAAAAGCAAACAAAACCTGAACATCCTGGCCAGCAGGCCACCAATGACCGGTCCAATGACCATCCCTATCCCATAGGATATTCCCAGTTTTCCGATAGCGTCTGCTCGTTTCTCTGAGCTGCTTATGTCAGTTACAATCATCTGTCCACCTGAAACAGAACAACACAGTCGACAGTGACAATCTTAAATGTAGAACAACACAGTCGACAGTGAAAATCTTAAATGTAAAACAACACAGTCGGCAGTGAAAATCTTAAATGTAGAACAACACAGTCGGCAGTGAGGATGCTAAATGTAGAACAACACAGTCGGCAAACACAGTCGGCAGTGAGGATGCTAAATGTAGAACAACACAGTTGGCAGTGAGGATGTTAAATGTAGAACAACACAGTTGGCAGTGAGGGTATTAAATATAGAACAACACAGTCGGCAGTGAGGGTATTAAATATAGAACAACACAGTCGACAGTGAGGATGCTAAATGTAGAACAACACAGTCTGCAGTGAGGATGCTAAATGTAGAACAACACAGTCGTCAGTGAGGATGCTAAATGTAGAACAACACAGTCGGCAGTGAGAATGCTAAATGTAGAACAACACAGTCAGCAGTGAGGATGTTAAATGTAGAACTACACAGTCGGCAGTAAGGATGTTAAATGTAGAACAACACAGTCAGCAGTGAAGGTGTTAAATGTAGAACAACACAATCAGCAGTGGGATGCTAAAAGCAACACAGTTGGCAGTGAGGGTGCTAAATATAGATCAACACAGTCGGCAGTGAGGATGCTAAAAGCAACACAGTTGGCAGTGAGGGTGTTTAATATAGAGCAACACAGAAAAATAAGCTGCAAACAGTTTGGCTCTGAGCTACTACTGGGTACACATTTCCAACAAATTTTACTACACACTGAAAAAATACATTTTGTTTGACACGAGAAACACACAACTGACCTTGCATGGCATGCATGAAGACAGATGGTAGACGGGACAAGAACAGCAGTGGCAGGTTCGTTGACACAGATAATAAAAAGTAGGACAAGGCTGAAGCAGCAAAGGCCAACATCATGGCCAGTCGGCTTCCAAACAGGTCTCCAAATCGGCCAAAAAGAGGCCCTCCTGCCAGTTGTACTACAGCAAATGAAGTTTGAAGGTAGCCGAATATGACTGGGTCAGCTCCAAGTTCTTTTGACAAATACTAGAGAGAGTAAAACAAATACTAGAGGAGAGTTAAACAAATACTGAGAGAGAGTAAAACAAATACTAGAGAGAGTAAAACAAATACTAGAGAGAGAGTAACAAACAAAATACGAGAGAGAGTAAACAAATACTAGAGAGAGTAAAACAAATACTAGAGAGAGTAAAACAAATACTAGAGAGAGTAAAACAAATACTAGAGAGAGTAAAACAAATACTAGAGAGAGTAAAACAAATACTAGAGTAAAATAAACACAAGGAAATATAACCATTATTAGAGATAACAGCAAATACTAGAGAGTTAAACAAATACTAGAGAGTAAAACAAATACAAGGAAATTTAACAATTACTAAAAAAAAATAACAAATCCTAGAGAGTAAAACAAACACTAGGTAATATAACAATTACTAGAGAGTAAAACAAACACTAGGTAATATTTAGAGAGTAAAACAAACACTAGGTAATATAACAATTACTAGAGAGTAAAACAAACACTAGGTAATATAACAATTACTAGAAAGTAAAACAAATAGAACTTAAAGCGGAAGTGGAAGATGCTATAAACCACATGAAGAAATGTAAATATGCAGTGCCAGATAACATCACAACTGAAGAATTAAAATCTGCTGATGAAATGGGTTTAAAAGTTTTGATAAAATTGTTTAATGACATTTATAACAGTGGACAAGTACCTGATGACTTCTGAAATGTTTTTCTCTTATTTTTACCCAAAACACCTGGTCCAGTAGAATGTAGGGAACATCATGTAACTCAAACACCTGGTGCAGTTGAATGTGGGGAACATCATGTAACTCAAACACCTGGTGCAGTTGAATGTGGAGAACATCATGTAACTCAAACACCTGGTGCAGTCGAATGTGGGGAACATCATGTAACTCAAACACCTGGTGCAGTCGAATGTAGGGAACATCATGAAACTCAAACACCTGGTCCAGTTGAATGTGGGGAACATCATGTAACTCAAACACCTGGTGCAGTTGAATGTGGGGAACATCATGTCACTCAAACACCTGGTGCAGTTGAATGTGGGGAACATCATGTAACTCAAACACCTGGTGCAGTCGAATGTGGGGAACATCATGTAACTCAAACACCTGGTCCAGTTGAATGTGGGGAACATCATGTCACTCAAACACCTGGTGCAGTCGAATGTGGGGAACATCATATCACTCAAACACCTGGTGCAGTCGAATGTGGGGAACATCATGTCACTCAAACACCTGGTGCAGTCGAATGTGAAGAACATCATGTCACTCAAACACCTGGTGCAGTCGAATGTAGGGAACATCATGTAACTCAAACACCTGGTGCAGTCGAATGTGAAGAACATCATGTAACTCAAACACCTGGTGCAGTCGAATGTGGGGAACATCATGTAACTCAAACACCTGGTGCAGTCGAATGTAGGGAACATCATGAAACTCAAACACCTGGTGCAGTCGAATATGGAGAACATCATGTAACTCAAACACCTGGTGCAGTTGAATGTGGAGAACATCATGTCACTCAAACATTATTTAAAATTATCTTGAGAAGAAAAAGGTGCAAAATAAAACCAGAAATTGGAAAGGACCAGTATGGAAGGTTTTGTTGAAGGTAAAGGCACAAAGAAGGCCATATTTATCTTGAGAACACTTTCAAAAAGAATTACTGAAATGAATAGAGATCTGTATGTGTGCTTTATTGATTGCACTAAAGCATTTGAGAAAGTGAAACATGAAGAAATTATCAGAATTTTGGAAACCTGAAACACTTGGTCAAGATCTCAAAAACATATACTGGAAAGAAGAAGCATCCGTCAGAACTGACAACCAGGCTGACATGTTTCAAAAACACTAAACAAGGTGTTGGACAGTGATGTGCACTATCATTCTATTTATTTAACTTTTACAGTGAAATAATAATTTGATCCCTTCATGATATGCCAGGAATATAAGTTGGTGGGCATATTGTTGACAGCCTGCGATATGATGACGATTTAGTTGTGATCACTGAATGAAACAAAACTGCAAGAAATTATGGATATAATTGTAACAGAAAGTGATAACAAGGGTCTTAGTTCAAACAGCAGAAACAGAAGTAATAGTAATTACAAAGAAAACTGACCCTCCAAAATGCAACATCAAAGTAAATGGGACAAACCTCAAGGAAGTTGATATGTTTAAGTACTTAGGTACCCTGATAACACGGAAGATTCATTAAAGAGGTTAAATGTAGAATAATTCAAGCAAAGAAGACATTTTACAAAATGAAGAATATTTAATGCAATTTCTCTTTGTCAATTGAAACAAGAGAGATAATTCTTAAAAGCTACATAAATCATATCTTGATATACGGAAATAAATCTTGGATTAGAATAAAAAGAAATTATTCGGAAGCTGCGGAGATGTGGTTTTACAGATGATTGATGAGAATACACTGGACAGATAAAAAGAATAACGAAGATGTCTTGAAAGAAACAGACTCTCGAAGAGAACTGATTGTCCACATCAGAAAGAGACAATCTACATTCTTTGGTCATGTGATGAGAGGAGTACATCATGACTGTGGAAAAGTTAGAGGGGAGGAGAGGCACAGGGAGACCGAGAGAGCAGATGCTGTAAAGTCTGACATGGCATGGAGGATCATCCGTATAAGAGTTGATTGAAAGTACACGAGACAGAAGGTTGTGGATAGGCATGACTACCCACGCCACACGGCATGGACTTTGAGAAGAAGAAGGAAACAAACACAAGAAATCTAACAATTACTAGACAAAATAACAAATCCTAGAGAGCAGAACAAACACAAGAAAATATAACAATTACTGAAAAGTAAAAAAAAAATTCCTAGAGAGCAAAAATAGAGACCAGGTAATATAACAATTACTAGACAGAATAACAAATCCTAGAGAGTGTGTAAAACTAATACTAGACAACAAGAACAAATTCTGTAGAGCAAAATAAACACAAAAAGAAATACAACCAATAAAAAGCAGAGAAGCACACACACAAAATGTATCCTAAAACCCAGAGAAAGCATTTACAGAGAATGTGCTCACAAAATACAAAAACAAGACAGCACAGAGAGAGGGAAAGTGCTCACAAAATACAAAAACAAGACAGCACAGAGAGAGGGAAAGTGCTCACAAAATACAAAAACAAGACAGCACAGAGAGAGAAAGTGCTCACAAAATACAAAAACAAGACAGCACAGATAGAGAAAGTGCTCACAAAATACAAAAATAAGACAGCACAAAGAGAGAAAGTGCTCGCAAAATACAAAAACAAGACAGCACAGATAGAGAAAGTGCTCACAAAATACAAAAACTAGACAGCACAGAGAGAGGGAAAGTGCTCACAAAATACAAAAACAAGACAGCACAGAGAGAGGGAAAGTGCTCACAAAATACAAAAACAAGACAGCACAGAGAGAGAAAGTGCTCACAAAATACAAAAACAAGACAGCACAGATAGAGAAAGTGCTCACAAAATACAAAAATAAGACAGCACAAAGAGAAAGAAAGTGCTCGCAAAATACAAAAACAAGACAGCACAGATAGAGAAAGTGCTCACAAAAATACAAAAAAGGGGAAGTAGACAGCACAGAGAGAGGGAAAGTGCTCACAAAATACAAAAACAAGACAGCACAGAGAGAGGGAAAGTGCTCACAAAATACAAAAACAAGACAGCACAGAGAGAGAAAGTGCTCACAAAATACAAAAACAAGACAGCACAGATAGAGAAAGTGCTCACAAAATACAAAAATAAGACAGCACAAAGAGAGAAAGTGCTCGCAAAATACAAAAACAAGACAGCACAGATAGAGAAAGTGCTCACAAAATACAAAAACTAGACAGCACAGAGAGAGGGAAAGTGCTCACAAAATACAAAAACAAGACAGCACAGAGAGAGGGAAAGTGCTCACAAAATACAAAAACAAGACAGCACAGAGAGAGAAAGTGCTCACAAAATACAAAAACAAGACAGCACAGATAGAGAAAGTGCTCACAAAATACAAAAATAAGACAGCACAAAGAAAGAAAGTGCTCGCAAAATACAAAAACAAGACAGCACAGATAGAGAAAGTGCTCACAAAATACAAAAACTAGACAGCACAGAGAGAGGGAAAGTGCTCACAAAATACAAAAACAAGACAGCACAGAGAGAGGGAAAGTGCTCACAAAATACAAAAACAAGACAGCACAAAGAGGGAAAGTGCTCACAAAATGCAAAAATAAGACAGCAAAGAGAGAGGAAGTGCTCACAAAATACAAAAACAAGACAGCACAGAGAAAGTGCTCATAAAAGCAAAAGCTGCAGTCACACACAATATGTGATGCATTCTTGGCTATTGTTCCCAGCTTTTGCATCACGTGCTGTCTTGCTTTTTTGTGTGTATAATAATTGGTCAGAGCATACAAAATAAATCTGGCCATTCCCATGGTGTATTCAGCCTCTATGGAAGTCAGCCGGTGTCGATTTCTCTTCTGTTGGGAACTGTGAGACTGAAACAGTGAAGAAATATGGTCAGTGTTCCAGCACGATCCACTCCAGCTGAAGGGCCATGCTGCCAACATCACTGGGTCGGTTAATGATGCAATAGCGCAGCCATTCTTAAACTGAATGCCGAGGCACCCTGGGGTGCCGTGAGCGTATGCCAGGGGTGCCGCGGCAATAATCAAGAAAAGTCAGCTAAAAATTGTGAAATTATTAAACAAGGCATGTAGATACTTAAAAGTTAAAATTTAAGTTGTCTTCCCTCACCACTATCAAAAACAGTTTATAATAGAACGGCTTCGTTAATGCACCGTTAGCTGGACCAGGTGACAGCAGCACAGCCTGTCAGCCGGCCGTGGTTCTAGCATTAGGGCATCCATACAATGTGTACATAAGTCACTTGAACTGTGAACTAACAAACAGCCTCAACCCTCCAACCCCTCACCTTAATGACGTTTTGAAATTAATGAAATAAAAAAGATGCCCTTAGTTGAGGGAAAATGAGGCAAGTGCGTCTCTTCTCCACAGGACATGAGCAGACAAGATGGCCGCTGCTCTCTCAACCAGTCAAAGTAGAGACCTGCAGGCAAGAACAAGACAGACATTACCAACATGGGTTCTCAACTCACTGGAACTACTGCCTGCTGGATCCAGAATGCACAGGAATACAAGAATATGTTGAAGTGCGTCACCAACACCACTCTGTCGAAATGGTAACCCAGAACGATGACCTCTGACCCGTCAGTCCTCCTCTCGCTGCCTCCAGGTGGCGGTGAATGTTGATGATGTTCTACTGTAACGTTGCTGTTGACATAAATCTCCCTGTAATCTGACTCATCCTCCAACATACTGTCAGCATCTGTGAAATGACTCGACATTGTCAAGTTACGCTTCGTCACTGAACTACTTGGCTTATAGTCTGTCATGGGAAATTTCCAGTCGTTGAAAATTGCAGAATGTGTTATTTATTATTGTAAATATTCTGTATCGATGAACTGAACACCGAAAACAACTGGTCAAACGGAAATATGCTTCATGTTACTGACAAGAGTTTCTTTAGAGGCTCCAGTAAGCCAGCTTGACGAAGTGCTCATTTCTGCAATAGAAGTTGATGAGAATTATATTCATGAAACAATGCAACAAAAATCTATACAGTGCAATAAAAATATATGCACACTATATAAAAAAAAGGTTAGTTGTGTATCCTTTACAGGACGTTGCAGAACCAACCCCAGGCATTTTTTTGCTGTTGTGGTTTTCTTAGGAAAATTTTAGGTTCAGTAGTTTGCCACTGCTTACTGAACGGTCAGCTCTTGGTACCACTGTTGAAACCAACACAAGACAAACCGTCAGCAGCTGGTATCAAACCAGACACACCAGCATTGTGAAGCACGTTCACAATGCCTAAGCCACAGACGTACACTAAATAATCATGTCAAATTAGCCATAACTTCAACAAAAACCACTACTTCTGTATCTGTTATTTATGCACCTCATCCAATAAAACAATCCAACAGATATCTGTTCCATTATTTAGAAAATCAACTTCCATTTGAATCAGTTTCATGTGTACTCTCACCAGCAGCAAACAGCAAATGTCTAGTCATTTAAACAACACTATCCTCTTCAACCCATTTGGGTTATAACCGGGACGTTCCGAGCTTTTCCTACTTCAACGTTGGATGTTTACGATTGTCAAATACTTCTGGTTATTTAAAACTGCACAGATTGTTTAATATATTTTAAGTGTAATGTATGTGTAATATCGATAATTGTGTAATCTATCTTTTTCATATTTAAAGTGATCTGAGGTGTCGAATTCTGATGTATGTATAATAACATTTCATATGCAAACTTTGTTCCTAAAATTTACTGTCAATACGTAGTTCTTTACAGTCAATACCTTCATCTTAGTTCTTTACAGTCAATACCTTCCATGTAATTCTTTATTGTCAATACCTTCCACATAGTTCTTTACTATCAATACCTTCCAAGTAGTTCTTTAATGTCAATACCTTCCACATAGTTCTTTACTGTCAATACCTTTCACGTAGTTCTTTACAGTCAATATCTTCCACGTAATTCTTTACAGTCAATACCTTCAAAGTAGTTCTTGACTGTCAATACCTTCCACGTAATTCTTGACTGTCAATACCTTTCACTTAATTCTTGACTGTCAATACCTTCCACGTAATTCTTTACTGCAGGGCTCTTCAAATTTCTACACACGTGGCCCACTAAATAGGAGAAATTGTTTTGGGGATCACCAAACAGGAGAAATTGTTTTGTGGACCACCTGATACTAACAAACAAAAAAGGAAAAGAATAACTAATGTTTATAGCAATTTTTTGTTTGTTTATTGAATCCAATGTGATTAAATTAAAATTTACATGGAATGCAACATCTGCTGCAGTTGCATAGAAAATGTGATACTGACAACCCAGGCATTGTTTCTGAAATTGTGAGACGGCACTTTTCCATTACAATTTTTAGGAACAGAGTTTATCATATCAAACATGGCTGTCATTATTGTCCACCCTCATCATGCACACTTTTATGCCCATATTTGAAGTTCATGTACCAATCACTCAAAGAACAGCCACTCATAATGTTATCAGTGTACACATGACACAATCAACCATGAACCTCTGTGCTCCTTTGATCTTCTGCTTGAAGTAAATGAATCACAGAATTAGCTTCACAGATGGCAGAAAAGGCTATAACAGTGTCCATGTTTATTCATTAGCGATTTGTGAACTAGTGAATAAATGTGAATGTAGGCTGATGTGTAGTGAGCTAAAAGACTACTGAATGATGCAAGCAATGAACAGTGTTGCTTTGGCAAATGGTTTGTTTTTACCAGCAAATAAGAGCTTGAGCACATATTTATTCAACAGTTGGATACAATTAGACAGGAAAGAGTCAAACAGTGATATTTCCTTACAGTTACATGCCATCTACCTGAGTTGCTTACGTCGGTTGAATTACTTATGACCTGTTACATGTAGATAGCCACAGAGATCTGTTAAATGTATACAGCATACATAGCTATAACTAACGGTACGTACTGTAATCACAACCCAAAGGTGTGAACAGAACAATATTTCAAATAATAATGATAACTGCATAAATGTCTGAAAGAAATGCCTGTAGGATATACAAAATAGCAAGAGTATTCTCTAAAAACTCAGTGAACACTATAGATATATAAAATAATAGCCTTGAGGGCTGAACAGGATATTTGTGTGTCTATGACAACTGTATCCAACTGAACTGTCACAGAGGATTATGAAAACTACAAGAATATTTCACACAGGCAGTTTCTACGGTAACACACAACCATGACACCAGTAGCAGCAGCCGGCTATCCTCTGAATAATGATCCCAAATTATCGAGGCCGAAGATATACCCTAACAGGCCCTCAATCATATGTAAATTGCGGACCTCTTTTGGGCGACTACACAGCATACTGCAGAATTAAAGTCACTGCCGAGAGTAACTCCCGCGCCGCGGAGCAGGAATAAACTAGATGGCTGAGACTCATGAAGAGCAGCTACCGCATCTCCTGCAGCTTCCTTCATTTTATTTGCTTGTGAGTCCCAGCCATCTAGTTTAGCCCCACTCCATGCCGCACGTAGTGGCGTGTGAGATACTCTCGGCAGTGGCGGTATAGTCGCCCGAAAGAGGTCCGCAATTTACATGTGACTGAGGCCCTGTTAGGGTATATTTTAGGCCTCGATAATTTGGGACCATTATTCGGAGGATAGCCAGCTGTCACTGCCATGAGGGGGCCATGATGGCCGGTCAACACTGAGCCACGTACCACGGTTTGTGATAACATTGCAGAATAAGCTGGCTCTGCCCCAGTCCTGCAAGTCCAATGTGTTGAGATGGCTGGCACAGATTCCACTAGTATCACACACAAGGCTTCATTTATCGGATTCATTGACCTCATATAGACTGTAGAGAGGAGCCACTGTGCCGTCGCCTGAAAACTACTTCAGTTGTGAGTTACTTGAATAATAGTATTATTTAATAGTCAATACTTCACTGGTCTTCAGTCCACACGGATTCAGTGACTACTAATAGACTATCATTATGGTTTGTTAATTAAGTACTAGAACTGACAGCCCCTGCTTCTTACCCACTGACCTCCACGCTTAAATAAAGATAAGATGCCACCCAGAGACCAGGCTTGAGAAAGGCCTGGTTGTCAGACCTGGAGTCAATGCTGGGATCCGGCCCACAACAGTCAGTCTTGTGTGTTCTGTTACAGTTTGTGTTCCTGCTACGTCATTGTTTTGTTTACCTGCCAGTACAAAGTGATCCACCCGGCGACAGACACACCCACACACGCGCTATTGGCAGGTCGGCCGTGCTTTTGGCAAGGTGGACTGACAAGCTACAACCGTTGATATCTTCATTTTATAATAATTACCACGTGTCTGTAAACATACAACTTTCTGCAACTTTGCGATCCTATATCTCTTGTTTAATACATAGTTGTCTCAAATAAATATTGCCACGCGTGATATAAGATAACAAATATATACGCTGAGAACTCGATCAACACTAACTATACACACTCACACACACACTCACGCACACTAGCTGTATCTGGCCACGCGTTGCTGTAGCATAGTTTATAATTATGTCTTTAGATTAGTGGTCATTTAAATTATATTTTTAGCACAGTAAAAAAAAAAAGGTTTTGTTATCACATGCTGAAGCTGTTCGTATTTTTTTTAGGAGACAGAAGTGAAGCTTACTGCTGTACCTGTAAAAAAACCAAGTAAGTCGTTAAAAAATGAGAATAGCGGAGGTAGCGTTAGTAAAATATGAATAAATTAGGAAATGAAAACTTTAAAAATCATGTGTTAAGCTCTTCAAGTTAACAATATATGTCATTACCCCCTCTCCCATCCACTGACTACTGCTCTCTCCCTCTTCGAAGGATTTGAAAGTCATCACCTGACGATATTTTTTGTAACTGACCTTGATATCCCTGTCCATCCGGACTAAAATGGAGAGCAGAAATGTAAAATGAGCGTAAATTCGCTAGTGTAATATTTACCACACCATCCTCTCAAGTACTAGTAAACTACTACGTAGCATATCCCCGCGGAACCTCGCTGCCATAACAACCCTCCGGAAAACCTTCCTATCATGAGCAAGATTTACACCCATCTGGGAGATCATCTGCCACATCCTTATCTTCTCCTTGTCCTTCTCTTCCTCTCTTCCCAGGCATTATACCCATCCATTATTGTTCTTTCTAGCCATGACGTTTCAGTGACCAAAATATTTCAATTTTCTTTGTTTTATTGTCTTTACTAGCCAACCCTCTTCATGCTGAAGCTGTTTGCATTGTATTTTTCTTTTTCGCTTGTTTTAGGAGACAAGATATGAATGGGAAAAGATCTGCTCTTACTGTACAATTTCCATATTTATTCAGTTGTGTTTTAGTCTTTGAAGAGCAAAACCAAGTAAGTCGTTTTTTTGTTTGTATGCGATTAATCTTTGTTTTTTGCTGTGTTAGAAAATAAGTTGATGATTTTCACATGAGAAAACTGTATAGCGGAGGTATGTTTAGCGTTAGTAAACATATGAAATGAATTTGACAGGCATTCCCCTGACGGAAATGAAAACTCTAAATCTATTCTGACAGTGTTTTTGTCTTGGAAGAGCATGTGCAATATGTGATGGAAAGGCCATATAAAAAAGCTTCTCATGTTGTACACCAATTGTTAACACCCAAGATATATTTACATTAAATTCATTCTCTACTCCCTTGTTCCTCTTTCCCTTGTCTAAATCCATGAAGCACATAATCCTGCCTCTCCCTGACTGATCGAAGGATTGTTTGTAATAGTTCATCACCCTTTTTTGCTGTTTTAATGAAATATTTTTCTCTTCAGTCTTTT